GGTCTTACCTGCATTCAGTTCCTGAGGGGCGACGACAGGGGGGAACTAGCACAGGGGGGATGCATCGACCTGGAATCGGCGATACGTCGCCGACAGATCGGCGACAAGCGAAACCGCACCTTCCTGGGCGGGTTGGGACTATCAGGCCCCTATCGGCGATAGAGGCCTCACGAGGCCCCCACGACTGTCTAAGAGTGCCCCGAGTCGCCGAAAGATCGTTCCAAGATTCTCAAGATGGCCTCCAGGAGGCACAAGATGCCCCAAAGACGCCTCCAAGAGGGCTCCCAAAAGGTCCCATAAAAGCAAATGTGCTTGATCACCTTATGATTGTTGTGACAGGTGTTGGCGTTCTCACCTTTTCCGTTTTCCGACGCTCCAGGACGGCCCACGAGGCCCCCAGGATCGCCTCAAGGCGGCCCAAGAGGTCTCCAAGAGGCCCCCCAAACAGCCCAAGAGGGCTCCGCGGGGGTCCTACTGGTGGACACAGCCCCCCGAGTCAAAGGAGACCTCCTGGAGGCTTCTGGGGCATCCTGAGACCTCCCTCCTAAAACCTCCTAGGGTCTCCTGGGACCTCCCTCCTAGAACCCCCTGGCATCTCTCTCCTCATCAGTTTCCTCCTCCTCCTCCTCCTCCTCCTCCTCCTCCTCCTCCTCTCCTCTCCTCCGTCTCTCCTCCTCCGCCCTCCTCCCTCCCTCCCCTCCTCCTCTCCTCCTCTCCTCCTCCTCCTCCTCCTCCTCCTCCCTCCTCCTCCTCCTCCTCCTCCTCCTCCTCCTCCTCATCATCATCATCATCATCATCATCATCAGCATCCTCAGCCGCAGCAGCAGCAGCATCATCATCACCACCACTACCACCACCACCACCACCACCACCATCATCATCATCATCATCATCACCACCACCACCACCACCACCACCATCATCATCATCATCATCATCATCATCATAATCATCATCAGCAGCATCATCAGCAGCAGCATCACCATCATCATCACCATCATCAACAACCACAACATCATCATCGTCCTCGTCGTCGTCGTCATCATCATCAGCAGCAACAGAATCAGCATCGTAATCAGCATCATCAGCATCATCAGCATCAGCAGCAGCAGCATCATCAGCAATATCTTCATCGTCATCAGCATCATCATCCTCGCCACCACCACCATCATCACCATCACCATCATCAATATCATCCTCATCATCATAATCAGCATCATCGTCATCGCATAGACATCATCATCCGCATCATCATCGTCATCATCATCGTCGTCCAAATCATCATCCTAATCAGCAGCAGTACCGGCATCGTCCATCATCATCAGCATCATCATCGTTCATCGTCCAGCGATCATCATTCACTATGCATCAGCATCGTCCTCATCAGCATCACAATCACCAGCATCACCATCATCATCATCATCATCTTCGTCGTCGTCGTCATCAGCAGCATCAGCAGCATCATCATCACCACCGTCACCATCATCATCAGCAGCAGTAGCATCATCATCATCATCATCATCATCATCATCATCATCATCATCATCATCACAACCATCAGCATCGTAGCCATATCATCATCATCAACAACATCATCATCAGCAGCATCATCATATTTCATCGTCCAGCGTTCACCATCCATTATGCATCAGCATCGTCATCATCAGCATCGCAATCATCGTAATCACCAGCATCCTCACCAGTTTCGTCGTCGTCATCATCAGCAGCATCAGCAGCATCAGCAGCAGCGTCATCAGCATCGTCATCATCATCATCATCAGCAGCATCATCAGCAGCAGCATCATCATCATCATCATCATCATCATCATCATCATCGATATCGTCATCATCATGATCATCATCATCATGAGAATCAGCAGCAGCCTCTTCAACATCACTCATACACATCGTCAGCACCATCAGCATAATCACCTGCATCATCATCCTCAACATCATCATCATCATCATCATCATCATCATCATCATCATCATCATCATCATCATCATCATCATCATCATCGTCATCGTCATCATCATCATCATCATCATCATCATCATCATCATCATCATTAACAACATCATCATACTCATTACAATCGTCATCGTCATCAGTGTCTTAATCATCGTCGGCATCCTCGTCATTATCATCATCAGCACCCCCAGCAGCATACTCATCATCATCATCAACAGCATCAGCATCATCATCATAATCAGCATCATCACAACGACCAGCATCACAATCATCATCGTCCTCATCAACACCATCATCATCATCATCACCATTGTCAGTACCATCCTCACCCTCAACCTCATCATCAGCATCATCATCATCATCATCGTCATCGTCATCAGCATCATCATGATCATCATACTCATCTTCGCCAACATCATCCGCATCGGCATCATCGTCACCATCACCATCAACGCGCATCATTGCCATCGCAAACCCCTATCATTTACCATCCCTGGCCACCCACGATGAGAATAATCATCATATTAGATTCAACAACCTCATCATCATTGGTCACCATCAACATCTGCATCACCCTAACCAATATCATTCGCAACCTCAGCCGCATCACCATGACCAACATCATCATCATCATCAGCATTGTCCTCAGCATCATCGTCAACAGCATCATCATCAGCATCATCATCATCAGCATCATCATCATCAGCATCATCATCCCCATCATCATCACCGACATCCTCATCATCATCATCAACAGCAGCTTCATCATCAGCATCAGGATAAGCATCACAATTAGCATCAATGTCCTCGTCCTCCTCCTCATCATCACCACCGTCACCATCATCATCACCATCATCAGCATCATCATCAGCATCATCATCAGATTCAGCGTCACCATCGCCATCAACAGCATCCTCTTCATGCTACCCCATCATCATCATCAGCATCATCACAACCATCACCATCATAATCGCCATAAGTATCGTCATCATCATCATCATCATCATCACCGTCGTCATCCTCATCAGCAATTGTGCGTGTTTCAGCATTCGTCACTTATCCATGAGCATCACCACCATCCAGCGACCATCATTCATCACTCACCATCGTCATGATCATCAGCACCATCATCTTCGCGTCATCATAAGCAGCATCAGCATCACCAATGATCATCATCAGCACCATCATCATCATCATCATCATCATCATCATCATCATCGCGAGCATCCACATCCTTGTCCGTATCATCATCATCATCATCATCATCATCATCATCATCATCATCATCAGCATCATCATCATCATCATCATCCTAATCCTCAGCAACATTATCAGCAGCAGCATGAGCAAGAGCACAGCATCCTCATCATCGTCAGCATCACCACCACCACCATCATCACCATCACCAGTATCATCATCATCATAATCATCATCAGCATCATCATCATCTCATCATCATCGTCGCAACCACCGCAATCATTATAATCGTCGCCAGCATCATCATCATCATCATCATCATCATCATCATCCTCATCTTCGCCCGCCTCTGCATCATCACCATCATCATCATCATCGTCATCATAGGCATCCTCATCATCACCTTCACCATCACCATTATCAGCAGAAGAATGATCATTCACCATTATCATTCGCCACTCATCATCAGCATCCTCAGTATCATCACTCAGCAACCGTCATTCACCATTCACCATTCACCATGCACCAGTCATCATCGTGGTCGACATCATCAGCAATAGCATCAGCATCATCACCAGCATCACCATCATCATAATCGGCAGAATTCGCTTGATCATTCTCATATTCAGCATAATCAGTATAAGAATCATCAACATCAGCATCATCATCCTCATCATCATCATCTTACGCATCAGCATCAGCATCAGCAGCATAACCATCACCATGACCATCATCAACATCATCGTCATCATCAGAATCATCATCGTCATCCTCATCCTCATCCTCATCACCCTCCTCCTCCTCATCATCACCATCACCATCATTATTACCATCATCATCACCATCACCATCACCATCAACACCACCATCACCAGCATCATCACCATCATCATCATTATCAGCATCATCAACATCAACATCATCACCATCGCCATCACCATGGTCACCATCATCATCATCATTGTCGTCATCATCATCATTATCATCATCATCATCATCATCATCATCATCATCATCATCATCATCATCATCATCATCATCATCTGCATCATCATCATCATCATCATCATCATCATCATCATCACCACCATCATCATCCATCATCCATCATCAGCATCATCCGCACTATCCCAGTCGGGTACCCTCCCTCCCTCCCTCCGTCCCTCGCTCACTCCCTCCCTCCGTCCCTCGCTCCCCGAAAAAACAAGGTGACCGAGCTCTGAGGACCAGATCGGGGCGCGACAAACTGGGGAGCGGTGGCATGGTGGCGGGCCTGGAGCAAGCAGCCGTCCCGCCGCAGCTGGCCCAGACCACTCAAGAGCCCGTTTGTACGTTGGACGACGACGACGACGACGACAACGACCTCGACGACGACGATGACGACGACATTGATGACGACGACGACGACGACGACCCCGACGACGACGACAACGACGACGACTACGACGACGACGACGACGACGACGACGACGACGACGACGACGACGACGGCAGCGACGACGGCGGAAGACGACGACGGCGACGACGACGACGACAGCGACGACGACGACGACAAAGACAAAGACGGACTACGATGACAACGACGGAAGACGATGACGACGACGACGATGACGACAAAATGTTCGCCGAACATCTACGAAAATCGTTCCTACGTTCGACGAGGAGATCAAATCATGGGACAAATGCATCATGTGGTCCATCTCCTACTCGAAGAGTGCTCCTGGTCTTAGAGCGCTCCAAGGCTCTCAAAAGCAACTAATACCCTAGGCCCACCGGGTCCCCGGAACTGCCCCCGCGCGCTCGGCATCGGACGCCAGCACCCCAGCCGCTC